CTTGGGGTCTGGAAAATATCACAAAAAAATCATAAAAAAATCACACACAAAAAAATCACTATAAATATATCACAGACACAAAAATATCACTATAAATATATCACACACAAAAAGATCACTATAAATATAACACACACAAAAAAAATAATCACAAAAAAAATCACAAAAAATCATTTTAAAAATCCCACATAAAAAAAACACTATAAATATATCACACACAAAAGATAATCACAAAAAGAATCACAAAAAAATAATGAAAAAATGACAATAAATATATCACACACAAAAACCACCACAAAAAATCAATATATTCCACAATAAAACTCCAAACAAAGCAGTCACTCAGAACTCACTTCCCGGACAGGCAGGAGTAGGCGGCCAGCACCCACGTGGGCGCGACGATGGAGGCGGTGCAGGCGTGGGCGCCGGGGAGGGTGCCGTTGCCTGCGCCCCGACGCTGCAGGAGGGCCAGGGAGGGCCACTGCGCCTCCTCGCCGCCCTCGCGCCCTTCGCGCCCCTTGCGCTCGCCCCACGAACCGCAGGCTGGGGGAGGGAGGGGGTTAGGGCGTGGCGCTCAGGGGGTGGGGGTGAGGGTGGTGATGGGGTGATGGGGGTATGGTGGTGATGGTGAGGAGGATGGTGAGGGGGGGGTGAGGGGGATATGGTGGTGATGGTGAGGAGGATGGTGGGGGGGGTGATGGGGTGATGGGGGTATGGTGGTGATGGTGAGGAGGGGGGGTGAGGGGGGGGTGATGGGGATATGGTGGTGGGGGAATGAGGGGGGTGGGTGAGAGTAGCGGTGGTGATGGTGATGGTGGTGAGTGAGGGGGGGGGGGAGATGGGTTAGGCAAGTGGTGGTGGAAAAGGGGATGGGGTTGAAGATGGGGGGGAAGGGGTGGGGGTTGATGGAGCGATGGTGGTGGGGGGGAGGGGGGGTTAGGGTGGTGAGGTGATGCCGACGATGGTGTCAGAATGGTGTTAAAGATCTCAGATATAAGACAATAATAATGATGCAATTACACCTACCAATAATAATGATAATGATGCCAAATATAATGATCACTATTAAGCTCACTCCTCAGCCTCATTATGCAAGCTCACTTCCTAAATTCACTCCTTAAGCTCACCACTTACGCTCACCTTAAACTCACTCTCAAGCTCACTACACTTACGCGCACTGTTTATGCTTATCATTTACGCTTACTTCTTAAGCTCATCACTTACGCTCGCTCCTGAAGCTCACTCTCAAATTCACTCTTTCTGTTCACTACTTCCGCTCATCGCTGCTTAAAACTCACTACTTAATTAAGCTCACTATTCAAGCTCACACTCAAGCTCACTAAGAAAGCTCACCCCACTGAAGCTCACTCTTTAAGCTCAGCCAACTGAAGCTCACTCTACCCAAGCTCACTCCTGAAGTTCACTCTCAAGCTCGCTCTATCATCTCTCCACTCAAGCTCAGTCTTTAAGCTCACCCCATTTAAGCTCGCTCTTTAAGCTCACTCCACTCAAGCTCGCTCTTTAAGCTCAATCCACTCAAGCTCACTCCACTTAAGCTCACTCTTTAAGGTCACTCCACTCAAGCTCAGTCTTTAAGCTCACTCCACTCAAACTCACTCTTTAAGCTCGCTCCACTCAAGCTCACTCTTAAAGCTCACCCCACTCAACCTCGCTCCCTCATCTCACTCCACTCAAGCTCAGACTTTAAGCTCACTCCGGACCCCGCCTCGAAATTACCATGATGCTCGCACTCCAGATGCACCAGCTTGTCGGACGAACGGCACTCCATGTTGAGCACGAACTGCAGGGGCTTGGAGAGGGGGGAAGCGTTGGGCACCAGGCGTACCCGCGGGCGTCCCTGGGGCTCTACCACCCTCAGGAGGTTCGTGTTGACGGAGACGTTGGAGCCGAGTTGGGCGCAGACGAGGTCGCTCCACTGCGTCGTCCAGCCCTCGCTGCAGACGGCCGACCACTGGCTCTTCCCGTTCCTGCGTGGGGGGAGAGGGAAAGGGGTAGGGGTGAGATGCGTTTGTTTGGGTTTGATTTTTTTTTTTTTTTTTTTTGGGGGGGGGGGGTAGAAGGGTTTGTTTGGATTTGATTTGGTTTGGGGGGGTGAAAAGGGTTTGTTTGGGTTTGATTTGTTTTTTTGGGGGGTGAGAAGGGTTTGTTTGGGTTTGATTTGGTTTGGGGGGAGGGGTGAGAAGGGTTTGTTTGGGTTTGATTTTTTTTTTTTTTGGGGGGGGGGTGAGATGGGTTTGTTTGGGTTTGATTTGGTTTGGGGGGGGGGGTGAGAAGGGTTTGTTTGGGTTTGATTTTTTTTATTTATTTTTTTTTTTTTTGGGGGGGGGTGAGATGGGTTTGTTTGGGTTTGATTTGTTTTTTTTTTGGGGGGGTTAGAAGGGTTTGTTTGGGTTTGATTTTTTTTTGGGGGGGTTAGAAGGGTTTGTTTGTTTTTGGGGGGGTTAGGTTTGTTCGGGTTTGGTTTGGTTTTGGGGTAGTGGTGAGATGGGCGTGATTGGGTTTGATTTGGTTTTGGGGTAGGGGTGAGATGGGCGTGATTGGGTTTGATTTGGTTTTGGGGTAGGGGTGAGATGGGCGTGATTGGGTTTGATTTGGTTTTGGGGTAGGGGTGAGATGGGCGTGATTGGGTTTGATTTGGTTTTGGGGCGGGGGAAAGGGGTAGGGGTTAGAAGGAAGTGTTTGTTTTTTGTTTTTGTTTTTTTGGGGGGGCGGGGTTTGGAAGGAAGTGTCTGGGTTTGTTTGTTTTTTGTTTTTTTTGAGGGGGGCGGGGTTTAAAAGGGCGTGTTTGGCTATGTTTGGTTTGGGGGCGTGGGAAGGGACGGGGCTAAAAGTGCGTGTTTAGCTTGGTTGTTGCTTTTAGTTTGTTTAAGTTAGGATCGATTTACATCTATGGTTGTATAGTTCATTCTATTTGTTGTTGTTGCTTATAGTTTGTATTTATCGTGTGTGTATGTGTGTGTGTGTGTGTGTGTGTGTGTGTGTGTGTGTGTGTGTGTGTGTGTGTGTGTGTGTGTGTGTGTGTGTGTGTGTGTGTGTGTGTGTGTGTGTGTGCGTGTGTGCGTGTGTGCGTGTGTGCGTGTATGCGTGTATGCGTGTGTGCGTGTGTGCGTGTGTGCGTGTATGCGTGTATGCGTGTATGCGTGTGCGTGTGCGTGTGCGTGCGTGTGCGTGTTCGTGTGCGTGTGCTTGTTCACGTTCGCGTTCGTATTCGTGTACGTGTGTGTGTGTTCGCATATACAAAATACTCAATCAATCATCCACTCCATCAGCTCCCCCCTCCCTCTCCCCTACCCCCTCCCCCCTCCCTCTCTCCCCCCCTCCTACCTGACTTCGAGCTGCTTGGTGACATTGTCGATCCGGAGGCAGTGCCACTCGTCGGAGCCGTCCTGGCACTGTCTCAGGCCGTCGCACAGGGAGAAGGTGGGCACGCAGCCGCCCACGTGGCACGGAGTCTCATCCAGCGCGGCGCAACCTGGGGGGGGGGGGGGGGAGAGAGAGAGAGAGAGGGGGGGGGAGAAGGGGGGGGTAAAGGTTAATAAACAATGAGCGAAACTGAAATTCTGGTAAAATAAAAATCAAAAAATGAAATTAAAAAAGGAATTGTAGAATAAGGTCGACTGATAACGAATATCAGATACGATGGAGATAAATGAAAGTAATAAAATGTAATAAAGATATAAACGAGGACGAGAAAGATAAAAAGAGATTGTGGGATAAACAAAACAAAAAAAAAAAAACGAACATCCCGTCATTAACAAAAAATAAAAAAAAAACCTAAACAAAATCCCTCCAGAAGATAAAACACACCTAAACAAACTCCCTCCAGGAAAAAAAAAAAAAAAACGAAAACAAAAAAAAAAAAAAAAAAAACGCATCGCTCACCACAATTCTGCTCGTCCTCGCCGGCGTAGCAGTCGGGGCGGCCGTCGCAGGTGCGCGCCAGGGGCAGGCACCATCCCTCGGGGCACCTGAAGAAGTCGCTGGTGCAGTTCTCCGTGCAGTTGAGTTCGTCGGAGTGGTCGCTGCAGTCGGGCTGGCCGTCGCAGCGCAGGCTCTCGGGGATGCAGGGCGTCGGCGAAGAGCCAGACCTGCTCCTGCCGCCGCCGCAACGGAACTCGTCCTCCCGGCACGCCCACGAGTCTGCGGGCGGGGAGGGGGAGGGATCAGTTGGGGGGAGAGGGAAGGGGTGAATTAGGGGGGAAGGGAGGGGAGGTGTGAGTTGGGGGAGGGGGAGGGGGATGGGAGGGGGGAGTTGGGGGAGGGGAAGGGGAGGGGGATGGGACGGGGGGAGTTGGGGGAAGGGGAGAGGTTAGGGGGAGGGAGGGGGTGAGTTGGGGGAGGGGGATGGAAGGGGTAAGTTAGGGGAAAGGGAAGGGGGAGTTGGGAGAAAGGGAGGGTTAGGGGGAGGGAGGAATAAAGATGGGGGAAGGAGTTGAAGAGAGATAAAGAGAAGGTTTAAGAATGGGGGAAGAGGCGTGAAGAGAGAAATGGGGAATGGAAAAAGATAAATGAACAGGGAAATTAGGAAAAAAGGGGGATAAGAAAGATGGAAGAGAATTGAACAGGGAGACAGGAGAAGGAGACGAAGAGGGAGATGAGGAAAGGCGGTAAAAAGGATAGAGAAAAGGGTAATAAGAAAATAAAGCAAAAAAAAGAAAAAAATAGGGGAGGGGGGGGGAGACACAGAGGTAGATAAAACACAACGAAAAGAAATATAAACAGACGATACATAAGACCCAGATAAACAAACAAACAAACAAACAAACAAAATTCAAAACAATACACAAGACCCAGATAAAAAAAAAATCAAAACAATACACAAAACCCAGACAAAACAAAACAAAACAAACAACCCCCCACTCCCCACCCCCACCCCCCCCAAAAAAAAAAAATCAAACCAGTTAAACAAAAAACAAAACGAGAGAACTCACCGCAATTAGCTTCATCAGTATCGTCTCGGCAGTCGTTGACGCCGTCGC